GGAAATTGATAATTTTGTAAGTAAAAGTGATATTTTTAGGCGATTTTTCATTTGTAAGAATATTCTTAAAAAATTACTGTGTTACCATGACAACAACTTTGGACAGTAGTTTGTCACCAAGGCGAGGGTTTCTGCATGCATGTATTTTCTAGTTATAACATAGGCAGCCCAAAAATGTGTGTTGAAATTTTTACCCTCGCGCATAGCGCTCGGGCATGCATCGAGTCTACTCAGTTTATTTAATATTATGACAAGGTTGGCAAGACTTTTTTATTACAACGTTTACTAGAGTATGAATATTTCGCAAATTACAAGCAAAAACAATATGAAATATACATCATTTCAAACACTGGTAATTTTACTACATTCTCTCAAAGTTTTAACTTCAAAAGTTTATTCTAAGGATGTTACTGCAATTTGCAGTTGAGCTTAGAGACAAGAAGTTTTGCCGCGCAGTTTGATCGTTGAAACGTACAAGTTACCAAGGGCAAATTCAAATGTTGTCAAGCAGAAATGCGAATGTTGTAATGGGAGATTTAGGCACTTTCGGCCAATCATAATGAAGAATGCGTTGGGGCAACGCAAAAATTTTGATATTTAGTAAAATATCCTTCAGTTTCAATTATATGTTAGCTGTTAGAGAATGGATGAAAAGCTTTTGTATTGGATTTGGGAAGCAGGCTTTGAAGTCAGTTTTAATCCGCCTGAAGCAGACGGTAATTGCTTTTATAGGGGAGCTGCTTTTCAAGTTGAAATTGCCTGGGATGCACTAAAAACGAGGATATTTGAACATCTGGAGCAAAACCAGTTCGACGTAAGTCTTTCAGAGAGTTTTTTATAAGTGTTTGTATATGACAATGATTGATATATAAAGGGACATATTTGATAGTTAATAATTGCCTTTTGGTTTTCAGTCAGAAGGCAATGACCGGCTATCGTTCCAGGTGATCTCATATTCGTATTTTAGCCAATCAGCGCTCAGAAAGGGTTGTCCGAATAGAAATCCATTTTGATGTATTCAGTCAATTATATCTTTCGTTATTCTTTATGAAACTAGTTTAAATTTTGTAATTATGTTTGGTTATGAGAACTATAGCTCTGACAAAAATATGGAATCGAAATAAAGTATATTACAGGAGATATTCAGTTGTTTTAATCATAAAATGGATTTCTATTTGACAACTAGTGCCAGTACTTTTCCGCGTATCAAGATCACCTGGTTCTTGTGCGAAGTTGATTTAAAGACACAGGTCCCGTCATCTTCGATGGCTGCGTTAGACTTGTTGAGGGAGAATTACGCTAATTCATTAATCATAACAACCTTTGCTGAAATTATCACGAAGGATGTTATGATAGTCACTGTTCATGGTGGAAATTATACTGTTTCCATTATTAAGTTTAAATGGACGTTTTATACCTGGTATAATATCATAATATACCTTATTATAGGAAATTAACAATGCACTTTATTAACATGGATTTTAAAAATTCGCGTTAATTTAATTAATGTTAATTTATGTTACCTTTAATTTCAAGCATGCAAATTTTAGTTATCGTTAATTAAAAAGACCTTGATTTGTTTTATATAACACAAACTTTTTTAACTCAAAATGCATCATATATTAAACCTCAAAACAAAAACATCAGTCCACCTCTTCACTGTCACTGTCAGAATCTTAAGCTGAACTATATATATTTATATACATTGGCTTAAATGACTGTAACTTTCAACGTTACAGTTTTGATATATCTACTCGCGTACTGTTTTAATTGGTAGTTGCTGCCGAGCGCCAGCGAGGCAGCACACTATTCTCGATGCACGTTGTTTCGTTACCAGTCCCCGTGGCCCGAGTTTAGTAGTCTTGTGGCTTGAATCTCGATATTTCGTTGAGTTGTATGCCGCATCCAAGGGGGTTACAGAAATTAATGAAGTATCAAGGGGGGGTTGTCTATCATCGTTGAAACCGCAATATGCGATTATAAATATAAATCAGGTACGAATGGCTTTATTTCTTTCTGGTGACATACATGAAGGCAACAGATCTGCTGTTTTAGTGTTCGATAATACAGCTAGGTATTGAAACAATATCATGATATTACAAAAATATAACTAACGATGTTGTCGTTTATCAATCTCCATTTACTGTGTAAGAAACAAAATAGAAATGACATCTTCAACGTAATCAGGCTTATTAAAATAAAATTCCTATAGCAACCCAGTGTGGATTGTTGTCTGCATATTTTATAGCAATGAGCTCATTCTAGATGTTTATAGCAATGTGCACTGTCACTGATCTGTTCGTCAATAATGTCTTAATTATAATACGAGTAAAAATGTAATAGCATGTTATCGAGATGATTTTGCCTTATGAACCATTGAACCTATAATATATGGGAATGCTAGTAAAGATAATTGTTATTATTAAATGTTTTATTTCTTGTTGGTATTTTGAACGCACGCTTTATTTCATGAATATTGCTATAAAACAAAGCAAAAAGAATGAACACGGAAAATTACTTGCGCGAATTTAAAGCTGTGCGAATACGTCTCAACAAGGTGTGCGAAATTAAATTGCGCGAATTTACAGCTAGCAAAAATGAGTTATACGACGCGAATCTTTAATACAAGTATAAAGGTCCATATGGTATAGCCATACATTTCGCCGAACATAACTTTGGCTCCTTTGGACATATCTTTTTCGTAATAGTCTTATTCGAACCGAAATCCAAAACATTATTTAGAATGTTATTTTCAAGTTTGTGTCTTCAGATTTTCACCTTTTATTTCAGTACTTACAGAAATAAATAAATACATAGTATTTATATTTTTAGCGCGGCCCGTGAAACGTTCTCAAAACAAAGCGCTGTTTACATCCTGGCCTTAAGGGTTTGGAAAAACCGGAAATCGATTCTACAAGTCAAAGTACTCCCAGTATTGCAGTGGTATGGTTTACACGTGCATCGGGCTACATATAACCAAGCATACACCTGGCGTGTGTCTTTGCATGTAAAACCCCGATATTTTCAAAAATTCAAAATAAATATTTCTATTCTGTGCCGTATTCAAACGAAACTTTCTACATGAAAGCGCTTGAATAGAAGGAGTATTTTACTCACATTGACTCTAAGCAAATTCTGAAGAGTTAAGAAGATATTCATGTGATTGGTCTTAAATGATGAACGAGAAACAAATTTGTGCAGGAAACATAGGGGATATAACCTTCATGTGCAGGCTTGTCATGCTACCAATGATGAAACGTGGAAATGAGGCCATTGGGTTAAAAGTAAACTTCCCTTTAGAGAATTGTCTAGAAGTATAAACGTTTGCATTCAGATTCAGTTCATGTGGCAAAAAGGCAGCACTTTCCTTGCGATAGTAGCTCCTAGTAAATAATACTTTTGCTGTTGTGTTTATATTTTTCGACTCGCGTTAGTTAAATTAACCATAAACTGTCAAATTCGTGTTAATTTAATCAATATTAGAAGTACCTGAAAGCAATTCGCGTTAATTTAATCAATTTTAGAAGTACCTGAAAGCAATTCGCGTTAATTAGATGACACGTTAATTTACGTCGCGTTAAAGGACATTGGCAATAAAATTTTTTATTGCTTTATCTGAAAGAGCATGAAAAAATAAGCCGATTGGACGTTTAGTGCTCTATTCTATCTCATCTGGTTCCAAAGTTATGCGTAAAAATGTGCAATGTTGCTGATTCAGCACAAGGTGTGACGTCATTGGTTGGGTAAGTATGTTTAATGAATACTAAACTGAAGCATAGCTCAGTTATTATGGGCCCAAATCAACTGAAATTTTTCATACTGATTGTACATGATGAGACGCATTGAAAAACACTCCTAATTGTGTTGCCAAGGTAACAATGTCGTTTCCAGGCCCCTTGCACCAATTTTATAAAACAGCTTTATTCATGGTATTTGTAAGAATAAAGTAATATCAGAAGTATGTGTACCATACCTTGGCATGGCAAAAGTTTACTTGCATGATAACAATTCGAAAATGACACACACACAGATAAATGCAACTAGTTATTCAAAATCAGTTTAAGGGGACTGGGAACAACTGTGTTGCCTTGACAACAAAATTAGAAGTATTTTCCCATGCATCTCATGTTGTACTATCTGTATGCAAAATTCCATTTGATTTGAGCCAATAATAACTGATCTATGCTTCAGTTTACTATTCAATAAACATACTTACCCAACCAATGACGTCACACGTTGTGCTGAATCAGCAATTTATATTTTGCACATTTTTGCGTATAACTTCGGAACGAGGTGAGATAGAATAGAGCATTAAACGGCCAATCGGCTTATTTTTTCATGCTCTTTCAGATAAAGAGCATGACTTCTTCTTTACTCAAACCTAACGATATTGTTTGGGAATTAGTGAAAAAACCATTTTCTGCTCAGCAGAATATTATTGTTTATCAAGCAGAGACCAACGCCAGATCTTTCGACATGCCCGATCGGGAAATGTTTTCAAATGTCGTGGTATTCAAAGAAAGAATAGAATGACTTAGGCTAAATAAGCTATTAGTATTATTTAGTTATTGTTATAAAGAAATACACAATTGCCGGTATGACTATAATTAGCAGAACTGCAGACCACAGATTTCCTATTTTTGTGTCGATCTTCATTATTGTTGTCTGAAATATGCCAAAATATCCACATCTTTTCCTTCATTAGGTCAAGATATTTTCCGAAATTTGATGCTCAGATTGCTGCAAATAGCGTTTCTGGGAGTCTACATTTCAAAAATCTTCCAGGGGGCATGCCCCCGGATCCCCCTAGGATGTCTCACACCTTCGGCGTTCATTTGCATGACCACTCACACGACGCTGGCTTCGCCACTGGACAGACTAATCCGCTATAGTTTTGCAAATCAATGGAAAATACATAGAACATCTCACACAAATTAATACATAGACAATTATGGATTATTATGGACAATTAACCAACCCATCTTTTCTTTTAATTGTAGGAGGATAACTTTATCAAAATAATTGAGGCTCCCAGGGACTCATGTTCAGGCACTTTATATTTTGGACATAGTGGTAACCACTATGTTGCGTTGAAAAAAGCAAGGAAGTCACCTAGTGGAAATAAGGTGAGTACCTAAAGGAACATGTGGAGGTGTAACCCCCCCCCCCATTCATCACGGACTGGGCAAATTGTTTTCGGGTTTATCAGCCTGAAATTGTTTTTGTAGGCAACGGAAATATTTGAGCGGCTCGGAATATTAAAAGCAATAGTTATAGCAAAAATTTTCCTAAATTTACAAAAATTACGGAAAGAGCTAACAAATTACGATATGTCTGGGAAAATTTTCATATGTCCGAAAAAATGACAAAATGTCCGGAAAAATGACGGTATATCCGAAAATATTTTTGTATGTCCGGAACAATTTTGTGCGACCTTCCCCCAATTTTTTGGGAAAAATATTAATTATTAATATTTTTCAACTAAAATGTTGTCGGCAAATGCGAAACTACACCCCCATTCTTTATCCTCTTCTCTACGACCCTGAAGGTAGGATATTCTTTAATATCTATAATGTAGTATTCACGTCATTTCAGGTGCTGACATAATTTAGTGTGCAATGATAATTATTTCACAGGACATTGTGACTGCGATGATGCGATCTGTGCAGGCATTGCCATAGGAAGCCTAAACAAGCAGGTTTTATTCAATAAAATCCGTAATTAAATTAAAAGGTTTGAGTATGCAATTAGCAATAAAAGTGCTGTTAGAATCATGCACGTAGCGTGCTCTGGTCGCGCTGTGATGTGACTATATAATTAGTGACGTATCCTACTATGATATTGGGAAGGACGGAAAGTATTCCATGCAATAACATAGTAGGATACATCACTAATTATATAGTCAAATCGCAGCGCGACAGGAGCACGCTACATGCATGATTCTAACAGCACTTTTATTGCTAATTGCATACTCAAACATTTTAATTACGGATTTTATTGAATAAAAGCCGCTTGTTTGGGCTTCCTATCGCATTGCCTCTGTTTTTTCCCCTCCTCATCACTGCTTTTTAGCCAAAAATATAAACAAAACTATGGAACTTTTAAAACACAAAATTTATCAGAAAGCAAGAAGGAGTAGACAAAAGGAACAAAGCAATTTTCTATAGTTCTACGTGTAAAATTAACCGGCTTGGCATTTGTTTGTTGTTGTCTTGACAAGTTTGGGGGAAAAGCATACAAAATAGCTGAGAAAAAAACTTGAAAAAGATACAGGAATACCAAATACATACAAAAAGACAACAAAAACTGAATATAAGTGATTTAGAAAGTACCTTAATTCTTCTGATAACTGCTAGATTTTTTCGGCGAAAGACAAAAAATAAAATAATTTCGAAAATTAAAACTGAGTATTAAACACAACGAAACCTAAGATTTACCGTCTTTCATAGCGAATCCAGCAGCCCAGACTGCTGAAAAACTTTGGCAAATTAGTCTGTGTGTCACTGGGGTTTTTTTATTTATACTATTTTAAACAATTTTTCCGGCTTTATAACATCAAAAGTTTGTATATTGTTTTGGCAATTATTATGTTTTCTATTTCTTAAATAATTATTCAGACATTGCCATTGGTCAATGCTTTGCATCTCAGCTTTGCTTCGGGGACAACATCTTGCCATCAGGCTTAGCCTTATTCAATACTTGTTTAATTTATTTATGATGCTTTAATTTGGTAGAAACGATCTGATACCTTCGATTGGTGGGACAAAGAGGAATATAACCCTGGTATCAGTGTATTCAAGGGCAGGAAATATGATATCTTAGAGCAGGACATTCCCAAAGAAGTAATTATTTCTAATTTTACAAAAATTAAATGCGTCTCCAGTGTGTACATGAAGCTTCATAATGAAAGTCAGTATCATGTTCATTCTTTAACTCTTTTGAAGGATCATGGAGTTTCTAAAACATGCCCAATAATTCTCAGCTCTGAGGATGAAGTTTCACCGAAAAAAAGGTACTTTCCAATAATGAAAAATCGGAATAGGTAAAGCGATTGGAAATAAATTAGACTGGTGTTTTATGAAAATCTTTTTTAAACAGCAAAGGCGAACAGCAATGTCCCGGAAAAAGGAGGAAGCTACAGGTATTATTATTACTTAGTATTTATTTGTTAGCATAATAATCAGAATAAAAAGGCATAGAACTTGACTGAAAAATCCATGTGCAATTACCTATCATGCCAAAGTTGGTGCATGTATTTTCTCAGAAACTGCAAAATAATGTATTCATGGTTTCAAATAAATCATTTGAATTTAGATACATTAATGGGCTGTTTGTGCATGTACATATTTTGTACCGGCGAATTTTTCAGGCTCTAATAAGCCTAACGTGAAATTAGTACGCAGAAAATACTTCTACCATGTGTAATATCATGTAAAACAGCTGCAGCAAAATGGGCAGGAAACATGGGCGTAGAGGCCTAATCTTGTTTGGGGCAGGAGGACAGTATTAGTTTGCACGACCGCAGGGCCGTTGCGAGGACTTTGCCTCAGGGGGGTGTGAGGTTCGATTTACCTGAAATTATCAAGATTATTGTCGCTAATTAATATTTCTCCCCAAAATTGTTGGCGAGCGGGGGACCTTCTGGTCATACCAAAAATTTTCCCTAATATCCGCCGTAATTTTCGCAAACATAGATTTTTGCCCGACCGTAAAAAATTTGGGAGGGGGTAGTGACCCCCATGGCCCTTGGCCGATACGCCTATGGTAGGAAAAATATAAACGCATGCAATAACAGTCTTTTTAAATATCGAAAAGATCTTTAAAAAATTGAATGATGAAAATCAATGCCCATAAATGCGGCATATAAATCTATCACAAAATGAAAGAAGCATTGGTTTTCATCATACAGTTACGATTTAATCCCACCTTCATGGCTACCAGAACAAGGGGGAATTTCGTTCTCGACCAATCAGCGCTTTTGTTTACATTTTTGCCCTAAGCCAATCAGAATGCGTAAAATGCTTCATCACATGAAATTTGTTAACAAACGTATGGGGTTACTTCAGAGCTTTTCTGCAAGCGGTTTTTTGGGGTTTTTTTCCATGAAATTGATATATGTTGTTCTTAAAAGAATTCTCCTCAACTTCCTCGTGGCGATTTTTGATTAACTCATTAAGTTGCAGACTGTTGCAACATTGGCACTCCCCAAGTTGCAAGGAAAATGGCGAATTTTAGTTACTGTCAACTTCTGTCAACTGCTTTTACAAAAATACCCATATCTCAAGATCAATGTTATAAAAAACCTTGAAATTTGGCAGTGGATTAAAATGATAAATGATTAATCAATTCTATTTTAAATGAGCTCCCACACTTAAATATATCATTAGATTTTTGGGTCAGAATTCTTGGTTTGTGTAAATTTAAGTCCCTGACATTTTGTTTCTTCATGACACCCAACATCTGAAGGGCAATAATTCAATAACCCAATATAAATGGACAAATATTTTTTGATTCCTGGATTGGTACACATTTATATTCAAATTAGTTTTCATCTTGTAGGGTATAAATTACAAAATAATGAAACGCTATAAAAATTTGCTTGGGCATAGCTCAGGCATACTCAGGACATCTAGTTTACAATGGAGAACTTGAACTTCAGAACTTGTTGTTCAAGTTCAGAAACTCTGTAACCCAAAAACACAGTGTTTGTACCTCTTTGAAGTTTTTAAATATCTCAAATATGTTTGGAAAAACACGAAGTACAAAAATTACTAATTAAAATATAAACAAAGGATGAAAAAGGTGAGAAAATTTTAAAATATTTGAGGTGTTTTCAATTCTGACTTTGACAGCCGGCATTTTCAAACGCAGCGTGCGGTGACAAAACAAAAGGCTTATTATTTCGCTATTAAGAGCACTGAAAGTCGTCAAAAAGAGATAAACACTTTTGAATATTCATCAGGTAAGAATTTTAACTGAAATTCCTTTTGTTTCTGTTGAGAAAACAACGGATTTGTGGCTAAAACGTTGTGCGCGCCAATGTAGGTTGCTGTAAAATGTCAGACAGGCGGTTTCTTTTGAAATCTGACTCCAGTTTTAAATCTGACTCTAGCTTGAAATAAGTCCTTTTCAAGGACCAATTGTATAAAAATATAATATGTATGCTCAAATAAAATGAATAATCTAATATTTAGGCATTTTAGATTGCTATAAAAGAGTGAAATAAATTATTTCATCTTTGGTTGTTTGTCAGACGAGAATAAACACATTGGTGACACTTTGTTGCGCATGCAGTTTTCAAAAGATAAACTGCTAAAAATATAGCTTTTATTTCACCAAATAGCAAAGTATCTTGCAGATATTATTAAAAGAGCTCAAGCGAAGTAATTCCATGATAAATAAGTGAACAATGAGACCAAAAAAGCGACTAAATTACAATTTTGGAAAGTACATAAATTTAATGGCTTCCCGCAAAAGAAGCCATTTCAGAGGAGAACGGCATTTTGTAAACTGCTCTCCTGACCTATTTTAGAACTTTTCCTTCAGGTAATCGACGAGTACTTCTTAGAAAATGAGCGTACATTAATTTTATGATGTGCTTTATTGATTTAAAAATTTTATGGGGATATATGAAGCAATAAAGTGTATTTTAGAAGCTTTTCAAATCCCTGTCATGAATGTTCAGAATTCGCACGCGCCAAGTAACGGCATAATTCAATACACTGATTTTAAACCACATTATCTCTGAAATGAGAGCTCGTTTCGAGACAAAGTTTATAGAAACAGATATAGTATTCATTGTAGAGTATTCTACTTAGTTTTAATGCAGTTTTACTCGAAATTTTTCTTGCCAAAAATGCATATACGCACATGACAAGTTGAACCTACTGTCTTCTGAAAGTACTTTGGCTAAAATAACAACTTGAGCAAGAAGACCAACAGTAGGGTCACGAAAACAGTCGAAATCATGCCATAAAATGCATGAAAAGTTCTTCTAAAAACTTAGTTTTAAACTAGATTGAACTTGCTTTAATGCTATATCGAATTTCATGAAAACATGCCAGGTATTTTCATTCAAAAACACGCTCAAAAAAATCGTAACTACTCACTTGGATTTAGTGTTCATGTTTCTAGCGATTTCCCACTTCACTTTTCCGTTAGATTGAAAGAAATTGCTGTTTTTCTGGCTGAAAATCGCGCGACTTGATTTGGACAAGAACTTGACTTGAAACATATGCACACTCCCTTATGTTTTACAATATATTTTATATGTAAAACTCTTTAAAAACCTCTTCTTTTTCATCCTTAAAACTTGCTGCAAAGTCCTATCTTGTGACACTTTGCGGTTGTCACAGTTTTGTAAAAAAATAGAGTTTTAAAATCGAAAATCTTCGCAAACTTTTGATCAATTTTCTCGCATGATGTATCGTTTGAAAGCCCGAATTTTGCACTTTATACTCGTGACCGTTGCTAGGCAAACCGGTAAATACGCGCTAGACAATCGTGCCCGGAAGTTGACGTGTCATCCAGGGCGCATGAGGGCGCAATGAGACTTACCCCGTTCCCAATTCCAGGGCGCATGGGGGCGCATGGGGGCGCAATGAGACTTAATGAGTTAATTGCGTGATTGGAAGATATGAGTCTTCAAACTTTGCCTTGCGCAAGCTTAAATACCACCCCTCGAATTTGTAGGTTCCGAACGGATTAGCGTTTTTAAAAGCCTTTCAAATCGAGGTTTGAGAGGTTTTATTTTTTAAAAGATACTTTGATCTTCATATTTTCACATTAACTTATTAATATCCTGTGTAGCAAGTAAACAGGACACTTCCGGGACCGGGACAAGTTGACATGTCGATTTCTTGCTAAACAGCGTGGCGATCAATATGGTTTGTATCTAAGTACAGGGAATTTTTAAAATTTTGTTGGTATAAATGGCCCAAAGAAACTCATCAAATATTTGGACTATGGACCTTCAAACTTATGCCAAGTATTTATTTGATTGATTAGCTCAATAACTGTTTCTAGGCTCGTTCTTCATCGATTTCGACATTTTGTCAACTTCAGGATAATGTGTCAACATATTTGCGTGTTGCAGCCTGTGGACATGAATATTTTCGTTTGTTTGACCATAAAACTTGTCTTCATTGTTTTTAATCCTTGATTGACAATATATTCATTGGTCTCAGAGTCCTAAACTTAAGGAATATGGATGTTGGGACAGAATGA